CCTACAAGAGACACACCTTAGAGATAAAGACAAAAATAGACTAAAAATCAAAGGTTGGAAAAAGATATATCAAGCAAATGGCAACAGTAAGAGAGCAGGAGTGGCAATATTAATTTCTGATCAAATTGACTTTAAGACAAAAACCACCATATGAAATCTGTTCAGCTCTTTTATCTTGTCATTTCTTCCATTTGCTTTACCTATTCTCCATTCAAGAACAAGTTTCAGAGTGTCTTCTGACATCCAATTTGGTCTTTTCCTCTTTCCTTTCTTTTTAATGGCCTTTTGCTTTCTTCATGTATGATGTTCTATATGTCATCCCACAACTTGTCTGATCTTTGCTCATTGGTATTCAGAGTGTCAAATCTGTTCTTCAAATAGTCTCTAAATTCAGGTGGGATATGCTCAAGGTCATATTTTGGCTCTTGTGGACTTGTTTTAATTGTCTTCAGCTTCAACTTGAACTTGCATATGAACGGCTGATGGTCTATTCCATAGTCAGCAGCTGGCCTTGTTTTGGCTGAAGATACTGAGCTTCTCCATCGTCTCTTTCCACAGATGTAGTCAATCTGATTCTTGTGTATTCTGTCTGGTAAGATCTATGTGAATAGCTGCCATTTGTATTGCTGAAAAAAGGTATTTGCAGTGAATAAGCCATTGATCTTGCAAAATTCTATCATGTGATCTGTAGCGTCATTTCTGTCACCAGGCTATATTTTACAACTACCCCAGTGATTCTTCTTGGTTTTCAACTTTTGCATTCTAATCACCAGTAATAATCAATACATCTTGATTGCATGTTTGATCAATTTCAAAATGCAGAAGTTGGTAAAAATCTTCAATTTCTTCATCTTTGGCTTAAGTAGTTAGTGCCTAAATTTGAGGAATAGTGGTATTAACTGGTCTTCCTTATAAGCATATAGACATTATCTTATCACTGAGTGCATTGTACTTCAGGAAAGATATTGCATCATTCTTTTTAATGATGAATTCAATGCCATTCCTCTTCAAAATTCTTTGCATAGTAGCCCATATGTTTGTCAGGTTCAAAATGGCCAATACCAATCTATTTCAGCTCACTAATGCCCAGGATATCAATCTTTATGTCTTCCATTTCATTTTTGACAACTCCCAATTTTCCTAGGTTCATACTTCATACATTCCATGTTCCAATTATTTATGGATGTTTGCAACAGTTTCTTCCCATTTTGAATCATTCCTTATCAGCAAATGGAGGTCCTGAAAGCTTTACTCCATCCATGTCATTAAGGTTACCTCAACTTTGAGGAGGCAGCTCTTCCTCAGTCATATTTTGAGTCCCTTCCAATGTGAGGTGCTTATCTTCCATCACTATATCAGACAGTGTTTCAGGGCCATTCATAAAATTTTCTAGTAATATATCAGACATTGTTTCACAGCTGTTCTTAAGGTTTTCCCTAGCCAGTTTTTTCAGAACTGGTTGACCCCGTCCTCCTTCCTAGTCTGTCTTAGTTTGGAAGCTCCGCCGAAACCTATCCACCATGGCTGATCCTGCAGGTATTTGAAATACAAGTGGTATCACCTCCAGCCTCACACAACATGCAAGCTACCACATACTGACAGAAACAATTGCATAGTGTTCCATTTTATGAATGTCCCATAATTATTATTTAATTACAGTTCCATTGTAACTATAATAACAAAGTTATTCCCACCTATTTGGGTTTTTTGTTTTTTGTTTTTTCAAAACAAAACAAAACTCTGCTTTATTAAACAGGTTTGTATATATGATATTGTATGTTGTACATATCTGTGAGCTAATTCCTAAAAGTAGATTTGCTGAGCTAAATGTCAGGGCCATGTGTCTGGTTGTCTTAGACAGCCCTGCTCTATACCTGCTGTCCCAGCTTTGCATCAGTTTACTACTCTGTTTACTCTCAAAAGTGACCTAGTTTAGGGGATCAATTATTTTAAATTTTAACACTTATTGCCAAATTACCTTCCAAAATAGTTTCTGTACACCCTTATCATATTGCAGATTACACAACTTTTTAGTCTTTTCCAAATATTTTTTATTTTTCTTTAATTATGTTCATTAAGCTTTTCAGCTGAACAATAATGAAAGACTGATGTCTTAATAAACCCGCTAGAATTATTAAGTAAAGTAAAAAGAAATCATTGCATTAGGTAGAACTTCACTGTTGCACTAAATGATAAGAATAAAATTGAATACTACAAAGGTGAAAATGAAATTCTACCAAGGACATCTTTATTGTTTAATATCAAATTGACTTTAAGGTGGCCCAAGGATATGAATGCCAAAGATGTTATAATAGTGAACTTATAATTTGTACTCTAAAATGAGCACATCAGAGAATTACTGCCCTTTCTTTCTTTCTTTTTTATGAAAGGGATTGCATTTATTATATACATGAGCCAGTTATAATTTTTAGCATTTACAAGCTCCACAAGTTAAGTATCTTGATGGTAACTGATAGGTAGGTCTTTGTGGACTAGTTTTCAATAAATAACTCCTGTCCCTGGAAGACTGATATTGAAATGTCTAGTTTTCTTAGTCAGTGAGAAGACAGCAGATGTTAGAATTTCCATTTTGTTGTCAGTTTAACCTCACTCTGTTATTCTCTTTTTCCTTTTATGTGTTTGCAGATGAAGTTGGAAGTGGCTCCTGTATTTTGCTGATCTTGCTGTGCATAGCAACTGTTTTCCTTAGTATTGGAGGAACTGCCTTGTACTGTACTTTTGGTGACATGGAGTCACCTGTTTGCACAGACTTTGCAGACAATATGGACTTCTATTACACTAAGTTACTGCAGGGAATGGCAGAACTTAAACACTGGATCTACCTCTCCTAGCAGCATTCATGAGGGATAGGCATGCTGGCAATGAGAATCAAAGATGTGAAACTTTTTAAACAGCTTTTATTTTAGAAGTTCTGTAGCATGCCCCTTTTCTGCCTCCCATGGACATCAGAAAGTGCAATTTTCAATGGCAAACTAGAGGAAGGGAGTCTTTTAGAGTAATCTACATAAGGAGGAAGATACTGATATGAGCCTTGTGGATGAAAAGAATGATCTTTGAAGAGCATATCCATCTCCTCCTCGTGGCTTCCTAATGAAGGAGGTACCTGAACAGAATTAAATAGGACAGTCTTGTAGCCATACCATTTTTAGCTACCTTGTCAAACTAATATTTAAAGAATACTTTTGGTTTACATTTGTTGGTCCAAAGATATTGCTTCCAGACATCACGCAGTAAGTTTGTGTATAGTCAAAAGGGGTTATCCTATGGATTCATTGTCCTTTTTAGTTAACTTTGGGACCTATGTGACCTAGGCTTTGTGCATTATTTCCCAATTTTCTTCTCCCCTTGTGATGTGTGTGTGTGTGTGTGTGTGTACACGTGTGTATGTGCAGGTATGTGTGCATGGTAGTTTCAGGCTGTTATCATAAGCAAATACCCAACATAGAATAACAGAGATTATTCTTTTACCTTGATTATAGATGTACAGGCACAGATCTTTGAAGAAGGCTTAACTGTGGAATAGGGGAATTTTAGAAATCTTTGGCCTTAAAATGAGAAATTGTGACATACCTGTGGCAGTTACCCTGATTGACTGGGCAGAAATCAATCACAGGCCTAAAGGTAGCATTAAAATGCTGCCCCCTGAGTCTCAGGCAACTTGTTTCATCATGGATTGAATGATTCCTGAAATATGAGTGAATGCTGGATTTAATTCAGCAAGTACTGGCTGAAAATCTATGACATTCTAAAAATCAAAAGCTAAGATACAGAGATAAATAAATTCCTGCTCTAGATGTTTTAATTAGAGTCTTATGTAAAATAAACTAATACTTTGGCAAATGAAATTAAGTCATCACATATAATTCAGTATTAACAGATCATGTATTCTGATGTCTGAATGTGCATTCCTATCATGGGCTTGATTTAGACCTATTATGGGGTCATTAAGAGAAAATTCAATCATAAATAGATGTCTGATTTTTGTTTAAATCTGTCAGTTGAGTAACATACCCTTTTCTAAGGTACAGTGGTCTAACATTTAGGAAACCTCACTTTGGCTTTTTATATCACAGGCAGCATTTTTAAAACATTAAACATGAATTAAAGTTTTCCAGCAAATGATCATTATTTCATGTTTCTCTGTTAGGATCTTTTGAAAGAAAAAGGGAGAAATTACTTTCTAGCTGTTACTGGCTGGTACAGTCCCTCCTTTTGTGTTTCTGCTTATTTATTTAGATGATATGAATTTCAGAGGGCTTTTTTATATATAAGTTGAAAGTGTGTTGCTGAGCATGCATTTGATGATCACAATGCTAGATATTTACTCACTATGTATTACTGTTTTGATTTTCTGTAATTTGACTTCAGTACGTTTTTAAAACCAAAAAATCAAACTCACTGCCCTTCAGTCATTTCTGACTCATAGCAACCCTGCCTTGGGTTCCTGAGGCAGTATCTCTGCGGAAGTAGATTGTCCAATCTTCCTTCCCAGGATTGGCTGGTGGGTTTGAACCAGTGTGTTTTTAGGCTTGTTTATTTTTAAATTGATGTTTTATTTTCACTTAAATACTGTTTGACTTCTCTGCATCATGTTACCGTAAACTGTAATATTTTAAAGGGTTATAGATCAAAGATATTTATTTAGAGGCATATAAAATATTGAAATTCAGATTCCTTATACTTAAGGCTGATTTTATTAGAAGATTATTTTAATGTTCTATTGTAAATTTTAAGAATTTGTATTCAAATCATATGTAAAATATGTAAAGTATTGATGGTACTAATTATGTGGTTCTATAAAAGAGGTTCACAAAGTCTGCTGTGAGGGGCATCTTCATCATAGACAAAGCTCTTCTGTTTACCCTCAGCATTTTTAGTTACAAGGATTTGATGATGCTGATTTATGCTGGTTTTATGTCAAGATAAATTAAAATTTTCCCCTGCCCACTTCTTTTAGGTCTTATGTAAAATAATATGTGGTGTTACATTTGCTTATGGGCCACCAGGGCCACTTCTGAAACTGAAGAATTTCCTGGGAAATTCTGAGATAAGAGGAAGAAGATAATAACTTGGAAAAATGGGGATCCAATTGAATCTCAAACAAACCATATGTGCTCACCACTTCCCAAGGGAGAGTGAGGTGACCTCAGGAGCATATTAATATCTTGATTTAAAATAGGCATCAAGTCTCTGCTAGAAAAATTAGGGCAACTTTTTTCAATGTAGTAGTCACTTATTGCATGAATTGAAGTAATTCCACCTGATGATCAAAGGATTGTTAGACATAAAAAAAAAGTCATCTGGTTTTACGAAAATGTAAATTGTCCCCTCATTTGAAAGTACTGATAACTATTTGTAATAATCTTATCTTCCTTAAGAACTGTATTGAAGATATGAAATCTATCTTGTAATTTGAAATCTATACCAACAAAGTGTCTCAGAGAGTTTATTTGAATCCTTGAGTGTCGAGAAAAACTGCTTAGTGAAAATAAAAGAATTTCAGATATTGATGTGGTTCCACAAGTGGATGGCCATCTGTTTGGGGAAGTCTAATAGGAATCGTTGGATGGTGCAAACTGTTAACATACTAACTGAAAGGTTAGCTGTTTGAGCCCATCTTGGAAGAAAGTCCTGGTGATCTACTTCTGGAAAATCAGCTATTGAAAACACAGTGGAGCACAGCTCTGGTCTGACACACCTGGGGTCTCCAGGAGTTACGAACAACTTGACGGCAACTGGTTAAGAGGTCACTCAGTAAAGGTGCCCTGCTTCTAAAATACCTCCTCCATCTGCCTGACACAGTACCTGAAAGTCTCTCTCAATATCCATTCCTTTAGATTTTAAAATTGAAATCTTTTAGGCCATTTCCCTTATTGAGCTGTGATTTGTGTATTAGATGCTGAGAGGACTTGAAATTTGAAGGTGGGCTTATTTGGAAAGGACAAGTGTACATTGGATCCTATTGGGACAGCAGGAGGGCACTGAGAGGTGGCAGGGATAGATAAAGACAGGAGGTCAGGAGTAAAATAGAGAAGGTGGAAGAAAGAACAAAGAGATGTTTTAGCTACTAAGCTGTTTTGCTGGATCTGGCCTTATAACAAGCATTCCCAACCCAAGAAATTTTTGGCTTTCCACTGACATGATCTGTATAAGTCTATTTCTATGGGCTCATAGGAATAATATTAACTTACTCTGGTAGCATAGTGGCTAAAGCACTTGACTGCTAACCAGAAGGCTGGCGGTTCAAACCCACCAGCCACTCCTTGGAAGGAAGGTTGGGCAATCCTACTTCCGTAGTGATACTGCCTCGGAAACCCAAGGAGGGGTCGCTATGAGTTGGGGCCGACTCGACGGCACATAACAACAACAACAACAACTCATATACTAATTGATGCAATGTATGTAGTGTTCTCACATTTATTCATTTGATGCTTATTAAATCAGTAAACACACATCCTTTTTTGTGGCAGAACATACTCTCAAGTCCAGGTCTTGTCATTCCTAACTCCATTTTACTTTCCATTCTGTCGTGTTGCCTCCAACTTCAAGAAGAATAAGAGTGATTCTGGGCTTACTGGCACAAATTCTAGTGCCATCTGCTACTGTAAACACCTCAAAGATAAACATTTTTTGAGCTCCATGTACTGACTTTGTAAAAGCTATCATGAGATTAAGAAAAGATTTTCTTAAGGAATCTTGGTAACATTGAAGTCTTCTAGAGTTTTGTTGTTGTTGTTATGTGCCGTCGAGTCAGACCCGACTCATAGCAACCCCTCCTTGGGTTTCCGAGGCAGTATCACTACAGAAGTAGATTGCCCAGCCTTCCTTCTGAGGAGTGGCTGCTGGGTTTGAACCGCCAGGCTTCTCGTTAGCAGTCAAATGCCTTAGGCACTACGCCACCAGAAGATTTAAATAAATGGACAGATATATTCTGTTCATGGATTGAAACACTCAGTATTCTTAAGATGTCAGTTCTCAATCTACAGATTTAATATAATCCCAATCAAAATTCCAGCAGAAATTTCTTTTGGAAATTGACAGATTTTAAAATTTGTGTGGAAATGGCAAGGAATCTAAGAAACACTACATAGTGTAACAAAAGGTAAGGTATGTCCAGAAACATACCCAAGCATATCTGAATATATAAAGATCTTATACAACTCAATAAGGAGCTCAGGTGGTATATTGGTTAAAGCATTTGGCTGCTAAACAAAAGGTTGGTCAAGGTTCAAACTCAGCAGCCTCTCTGTGGAAGAAAGATAAGGCAGTCTGCATCCATAAAAATTTACAGCCTTGGAAACCCATTGGGGATCACCATGAATCAGAATCAATGCAATGGCAGTGAGTTTGTTTTTTGGTTAGATAAAAATTCATTAATGAGAACCAACTCAAACACTGTGAATATACTTTGCAAAAGAAAATATGCAGATGGCTAATATCATTAGTCATTAAGACAATGCAAATTAAAACAATGAGTTGACCACTACACATCCACTAGAATGGCAAAAATTAAAAAGACTACACTTTGGAAAACTCACTGTTTCTTACAAAGTAAATATATATCTACTGCATGACCCAGCAGTTCCACACCTAGGTTCTTACCTAAGAGAGGAAAACATGTCCATACAAAAACTTTTACACTAATATTCATAGCAATTTAATCCATAATAACCAAAAAATGGAAATAGTACAATGTCCATCACCAATCGAATAGAATACTATAATAAAAATGTAATGAAGTATGGATGAAAAATGACCTAGAGGAATGTCCAAATAATTATTCTGGGTGAAAGAAGTCAGAAAAGAGTACATATTGTATGTTTCCATTTAT